TTTGGGGGCAGGGGTGGGGGGGAGATGGGGGCGGGGGCGGGGGGTCGAGCAGTGGCGCAATGGTTAGCAAACTGCACTTACCAACCCGGCGACCTGAATTATCATCTCGGCGACGGCGAACATCAACCGTTCCTGCGTGACGCCCCTCCCCTCCCCTCCAAAAATGCGTACCAAGTTGTGGGGAATTCAACAGTAATTGCCCTTTGGATATACTCTCCGCCGCCACGAGAACGTTGAATTCCCACCAGTGGCTCAGGGCTGTCAGTAGAGGGTGAGAACTCGACGGGGAGACCGGCTGGTTCCAAGCCGACCACTTTCTCTATTTTGGAACTTCTATTCTTGTTATTGTTGTTGTTGTTTGCTGTTGAAACGTTGCTGCCCCGCCCACACTGGACATCTGTGAGACGAAAATAGAGCTTCATTGCTCTTCGGATTTCCTCCGGATTCTGATTCTGAGCACGCCCAGGGTTCGGTTCGCGGGGGGGGGGGGGGTGGCGTTGAGGGGGCAGTGTCGGCGTTTGGGATTTGGGATCAAACAGCTCCGGGAGGTCTCAGGGGATGGGGGGGGGGGCTTCTCGGGATTGTGATCTCCGTGTAATTTGCGGTTGATGAGAACCCGCCACAAGCAAATTGCCCCGCATGGATATTGTATCCCCCACATCTCACCCCCCTCCCTCCCCGCCACCAACCAACCCCTCTCTAAAGCCTCCTCCCTTTGCACGGACTTTTGGAGCCAACGGGGCCACGGTTTTGTTGTTGGCCACGGTGGCGAGATGTTAACTACCTCGCCCGGGATACGGGAAAGAGGTCGTGGGTTCGATCGCGAATCTGACGCCTGCTGTATATTGGAAGGTTGCATTTCTCTCCCTCCCCGTGGTCGCGTGGATTTTTGTCCGGATCCTCCGGAGAATGAACATGCGGTTTAGGGTTTTTGGCTGCTATAAATGTCCATCTTCTTGGTTCTTTCGGTAAAGTCACGTAGAAGGGAAGTAATAAAATAATAAAAAGAAAACATAATAACACAAAACACAAACATAATAAAATAATCCATCTTCTTGGTTCTTTCGGTAAAGTCACGTAGAAGGGAAGTAATAAAATAATAAAAATATAACATAATAACACAAAACACAAACATAATAAAATAATTATCACGACGTTTCGGCCACAGCGCAAGCAGCCGTCCTCAGGTGAAGAATGAAACACCACCAACTTCACCTGTAGACGGCTGCTTGCGTTTTGGCCGAAACGTCGTGAGAATTGTTTTATTATGTTTTATTTTTATTAGTTTATTACTTCCCTTCTATGTGACTTTACCGAAAGAACCAAGAAGATGAATCCCTGCAGTCACGAAAGCTTTAAATCGAAATTTATAAATGTCCACGCGATGTGCCACTGCGTTGGGCTCTCATTTGCGGCCAGGTCCCCTTCTGAAAAAGAATTTTATCGCTCAGTGGGCCTTACTTGGATAAATAAAAAATTAATTGTTTAAATAGTTTAGAGAGTTAGCCAGCTTCTATTAAGGTACACGAGGCTGTTGATCGGTCTTCGTTCCCTTCGACACACACACGCACACGCTCGTGCACACAAGACATCAACCAAAGATCCCAGGCCTAACACAATGTTGGGGCAAGTGTTGTTGGCGAGCACCTATGAAGGCCGGCACAGCAGACAATGGGGTGGGTGGCCCGCACGCCTTTGTCTCCCTAAGTGACGATGTTCACATATCGCACCAGGTACTCGTTGAAGGCTGAGTCGACCTAGAGGAGGCCCAGGACCGGTTCAGATAATTGTCACTGGTGGCCGTGAGTGGGAATCGAACTCGGGCCGCCGGGTTCAAAAGCTCAACGTTTGAACCCGGCGACCCACATTCGCTCGCGCGCGCGCACATAAATACATGCGCACATGCCACGTGCATGCATGTATGTACACAAAGACCCACACCCCCACCCTACCACGGACTGTTTTAAAAGGGCAATGGGCACGGGCTGTTAGCGAGCACCTATTATTGGGGCAGCCACGGCGCGCGTAGGGGTGGTGTGGCGAGAACCACGCCCGGCTGTCTTTGTCTCTCTCTCTCTCGAGCGTTCATGTGAATCATAATCAGAATCTCTTTTTAAACCGCAGGCAGAATCCGATGAACTGTCCAGAATGGGCGGGTCAGCAAGCTACAACAACAAACAATACAACAACAACAATTGTTTTGTATGTATCGCGAGAGGTGCTAATTTAAGGCTGAGTCAACCTAGGCGAACGTCGAGAACCGGTTCTTGATATCACTTTGATATTAGAATCCTGCTGTGTCCCACTACCGAGCGGTGGCTCGGTGGTTCGCGCACTGCACTGCAAACCCAGTGGGACTGAAGTTCGATTTCCGGCCACGGCGGAAAGTCATATCTGGCGCGCCGTGTGCAAACACCATCGCTGGGGGAGACAAAGGCGGATGGGAAGGGGGGGCTAGATGATATTGATAGGCGCTCGCAAACAGTACAGTACTTGCGCCAACAGTTCGTATAGCTCAGGGGTCGGGAAACCAAAAGCAACGAGGCATTTTTTTTCGAATTCTGTAAAAAAAATAAAACTCAAAATTTCAAGAGCCGCAATTCGCGTGATAAATACGAGACGGTGGTGGCCCTTGATAAACATCGCCACGACGCGGTCCTTAAAGAGCCGCATGAGACTCATGAGCCGCAGGTCTCCGACGCCTGGTCGTGCTCAATGCGGGGGAAATCTCTGTCTTTGACATTCGCGTGCCAACGCATAGACCCGTAACCAAGAAGAACACCCAACCACCACCACCGTTTTGCATCCAGCAGTAGACAGGCCTTGGGCAATGATGACGTTGGAGCACGTGGTCGATGTTTAATTGCGCGAGCGTTCACGCTGCGCTTCTATAATCCTGTAGTGATAATCATTTAAATAAAGCGATGTTAAATGTCAACTATAAAAACTGCGGAGATTGCAACAGCAACTGTTGTATGGATTGACTCGTCTCCGTCACAACAACGGGGAAATTTCCACCGCTAGTTCGTGCAGCAATATCAATTGCTCAAAATAGAGATATGTTTTTTTCTTCTTCGATTATTGTACTACACTACGATCCGACGTCTATGTTCCTTCTCTTCACCAACCGGGACTGACCAGCGGACATCTTACAACGTACATCACGTGTTCATCGTTAGGTATTATCCGGGTAAAATATGTTCACGAATAAAGTCAATCATTACAAGTACAGGAGTTGCCTCGCTTTATGCGGTAGTAGATACGCTCCAATACAAGGGCCGCACAAAGCGAAACCGCACGAGGAGATAGCTTCTTGCAGAGTAGCGCACACAGCACACACAGTACACACACAGTACACACAGTACACATATACAGTATACATATACAGTTCACACAGTACACACATACAGTACACACAGACGGCACACACAGACAGTGCACACAAACACAGGACACACACAATGTTGTCCCACGTCCGACCGCATAGTCGCATATAGAGTGAATTCAAACCGCATATAGCGAATTTTGGGTAGAAATAGGTTAGCTGCATGAACGCGAAATCGCACAAACCAAGCTCACACAGAGCGAGGGAATAGAGTCAGGGATGATCAAATCAGCTACATCCAGCAGTGGATTGAGGTAACGCGCTGTGCACGGACATATACAGCGTTAGAAATTACTTGTGATTTAACATTGACATGCGGAATATTCGCGTTACTTAATCCCGATAAGGATGGTAATGTATGATGGTAGTGATGATGATGGTAGTGATGATGATAGTGATGATGATGGTAGTGATGATGATGGTAGTGATGATGATGGTGATGATGATAGTGATGATGGTAGTGATGGTGATGATGATGATAATTATGATGAATAAAGAATGATGATGGGAGTGATGATAATGGGAGTGATGGTGAAACTCGCGATGATTATGGAATTGATTATGACAGTGATGAAGATCGTGATGATGATGGCGGTGATGATGATGGTGGTGGTGATGATGGTAGTGATGATGATAGTGATGATAGTAGTGATGGTGATGATGATAACAATGATGAAGAAAGTATGATAATGGGAGTGATGATGAAACTCGCGATGATTATGATTATGGTATTGATTATGACAGTGATGAAGGTCGTGATGATGATGGCGGTGATGATGAGTGGTGGTGATGATGATGGCAGTGATGATGATAGTGATGATGATAACAATGATGAAGAAAGTATGATAATGGGAGTGATGATGAAACTCGCGATGATTATGATTATGGTATTGATTATGACAGTGATGAAGGTCGTGATGATGATGGTGGTGGTGATGATGGTGATGATGGTCACGTGTGCGCATCGCCGGGCACATGGGCGAACACGTGCCGCCTTGTCTGCGAGAAATTGGGACAACTCGGAGCAGACAGCGGTGGCGTGGGGAGGGAGACAGAAGGGAGGGGGAGGGAGGAGATGGGGAGGGAGGAGATGGGGAGGGAGGAGATGGGGAGGGAGGGGGGGAATGATGAGAGAGAAGAGAGGGCAGTGTGGTGAGGGAAAGAAGGGAATGGGAGAGAGAGAGAGGGGATTATTCTGGTGCAATGAAAGGAAATTAGAGAGGGAGGGAGTAATGGGAGGGGTGGATTGGATGGAGGGATGAGAGGGCAGGGGAGGGACGGTTGGAGGGACAGATGGATCTGAAGAGGGGAAATAACAGAGAGGGGGGAGAGGAGTGGAGGGAGGGGGGGGGCTAGAGACGGGGGCTGGAATAATCGGCCATGGACTGGAGGCACGGGGGTGGGGTTGGTGGGGCGCTGCCGCGGGGATGGAACACGGGGAGAGGGGAGGGAGGCGCGGGCTCTTCTGGAGGCGGGGCTGGGCGACTGTTGGCGAGTGGGGTGGGGAGAGTGGGGGGGCGATGGAGGGGTGGGGGATGGAGGGGTGGGTGATGGAGGGGGAGCGCCACTGCGCAGCCGCGCAGTCGCCCCGTTTCAAAGGGGCCCCGCCCGCTCCCGTAGCCCCAGTCTGACGGGGCGGGGGGGATGTGAGTAGACCCCCATCGCCAGAAAAGCCCCCTCCGCTCATCCTCCCCTCTCTGCCACCGCCACCGCCCTCGCTCGCCGCTCGATTCCAAGCGACGGCTGGAGCCGACTCAGCCACCCGCGTGCCACCGAGACCGAAACATCACCGACAATGTCCAAGTGCCCGAAATGCGAGAAGACGGTGTATTTCGGTATGTAAAACCTGCTACGTCGCTCTCTGTCTCTCACTCTCTGTGTGTGTCTGTGCGTTCGTGAATTCATTCATTCGCGCACCCAGCCTCTCATTCGTTCTATTCATTCACTCACTCGGTCGCTGTATTCGCCGCGCGCTCAGTCGTACATTCAATTAATGTAACCAGCGACGGATCTCGCTCGCCCGTTCGCTCATCCGCGCGCGCGCCTCGTCCGGCCGTCCATTCATTCGCTCCACCGTCAATGTCCGACCCGTCCACGCAATCACTGATTGGATCGCTTACTCGTGCATCCGTTCTCTCCCAGGACCAATTCGCTCATTCATTCGCATCCGACGGCCGCCTCTCAGTCGCTCATCCGCCTGCGCGTGTGACTCATTCATTCGGTCTTTCATTCGGTCCGCGCGTGTCTGCAAGTGAGCGCAGCGACGTTGATCAATTTTAGTTTTGTTTTGACGTGACGCGTCTCTGTATGTAGCGGGGAGCGGTCGTTAGTCATTCATGCTGGAGGAATACGAGGAGCTATAAAGATTTTTTTCACACATGTCCAGTAGGTCCTGGGCCTCCCCTGGGTTGACTCAGCCTCAAATGAGTACTCTACCCGGTGCGATGTGTAAACGTCACCACTGGAGGGACAAAGGCGGCCGGGCGTGGTGCTGGTCAGCACTTACCGCAGTAGTCTGTTAAGGATATACAGGGAATGTTTGTCTTTGTGCACAATTCACACACTCGTACACACAGTTTTCAGTTTATTTTCAGTTTATTTGGTATAGCCCTGTGAGCCATTCGGCTCTTGAATCGGGTGCAACCGCAACAAACAAAAAACAAAAACATGAACAAGAAAACATCTTAAAGTGACTATTCGTCCGTGCATACCCACGTGTGTACACAAAGACAAATATCTACCCCCCCCCCCCCTATAGCCTTAACAGATTTTTGGGGCAAGTGCTGTTTGTACACACAGGCACACACACAACACGTTGCCGTCAGATTCCCTGGAGCAAACCGCGTGTTTGTTATTGTCAAAGGTGGAGTGGTGCCGCTTCGCGCGCGTCACCACGAACCCGGCTACCTCGATGATGATGATGCGCGCGTCACGGCCAAAATCAGTGTCGAGCGATCTGTGACACCGGTATTCTGAACTTGCTATAAATAAGGCACCTCGTGTCAACAACAGCAGTGGGGAGACAAAGGCGGCCGGGCGTGGTGCCTTGCGACGCAACTGGCTCGTTCTCCGCGCCGGCATTCAAAGGGTACTCGATAACGGCACTTGCCCCCAATTGCCGGTATGGGCTACACGGGGCCCCTTTGTCTTTGTCACCTTGCGATGCAGAATTGGCCGATGCGTCGGAGGCGTAAACATGAACATAATCGATTTATTGTCGATTAATAAGAACCGTGATGCATTAATCGAATCGCGAATGCCATCCTAATTTTCTCACATGATATGCATGGATGCAAATCGCATGCTCGTGTTGCATTTAGAAAAGGCGAGTGATCTGAGATGCACAAACTAGAATGTGAAAGACAACAAAAACTACAACAAAAACAATCAACAAAAACAATCAACAACAACAACAAAAACTACAACAAAATCAACAACAAATATCGCAAACGAGCAATGGGACGCGTGCGGGAGAGGTCCCTTCCACGTGGAGATGGAGCAACGCAGTCAGATCGTGTTGGTGTTATTCCGTGCCCGGTTGCATGATTGATTTCCATCGCAGGAGCGTTAATGGTATCGACGGCATATGATGGGCAGGAGAGCATTCATCCAGCAGTGGATGGACCACGGCTTTCAGGACGAAATAATGCGATACGGGCGAGATTGGTTAAACTGAAAAGAACGCACGAATTGATAATTGAATGAATTAATCGAATAGCCACAAATGTATATTATCGCCGTGTTTGAGGAAGTCCTAACCCTTTACTATATATGGCCATGGGGAATGTGTGGGTCTCTCTCTCTGTGTGCGTGTGCGTGCGTTCACGGATGACGTAATTGTTTTTACGCATTAAAATCTGGACGAGTGGCGCCGCCGTTGGGGTGCTTGTAACAGTTCAGCAGCCACATCGGGGCGTTGCTTCGGCCATACTTCACCACCCTGGTCCATGCAGGTTGCTGAAGCGGTGGATGCGGCGTAGGGGAGAGGGGGAGGAGGTGCGTAGGCTGTGATAGGGGTGATCGATATCGGTTCCAGACATCACTCGCCATTCATGTTGGCCGTGACCGCGAATCGAACTCGCCGGGTAGTTCGTATCTCACGTTATGATCATCGTCGTCATTTTTCAGCCGTGATCAATCCACTGCTGGATGATACCCCCCCCCCCACCCCCGTGTTGTTTGTATTGCGTAATGCTGCATTGCTTTATTATATTTGCCAGCTCGTCCCCCGCGGGGCCACGCGTTCGTGTGGGCGCGGTTGTATGCGGCGCCCAATGTGAACACAGCAACCACCCAAACAATCACGGCCAATGAAGCTACGAGCCCGAGTGCTACCCCTATCCCTAACCACGTGACGTAACGATGTGTTCACTACGCGCATCGCCGCTTTTGAAATGACTGAGAATTTTTTGTTTATTTTTTTACCAAATTCGAAAAAAAGTCTCTTCTCGTTATTTTGGTTTCCGACCTCCGTACGAGCCTCGAGCTCCGTCCCACCGACTCTAACCAACTCGCCAACCAAGCCGCTCGAATTACCCCCAAAATAAATAAGCCATTGGTCCCACTAAGTTCACGCCCTGGCCCGAATCGACAGTCACGAGTACTCGCCTCTATCCCTCGCCATAACCCTCCGGCCACGGTGACGAGTTAGGACGTAGCGACAACTGTGATCATCGCCTTACTTGACCCGGACCGCGCAGCGCGCACTGCGTCTCGACACCTTCCCCCCCCCCCCGCCCCTCGACGGCCGTTCGCGTTTCTCTTTGCGGAGCTGAGAGCGCGTCGCCCGATCTCCAGTGGCGGCAGTCACCCCCCCACCAACTTCCTCCAGTAGAGAGGGGGTTGTTGACAGCGCACGGAGATCGAGATGCCCGTGCGTCCATCAAGGGGCGAATCCAAACAACAACAACAACAACATAAAAGAACAACAACAACAACCTGAAAATTAAGTAATACTAAATTTGGCTGTAAATATGAAAAAAAGTAACAGCCACAGTAATACAACAAACCACTGTAGTATTCCTTTGGGCGTTTACCGTTTGCATTCTGTGCCTGTACCCCAACTCCTCCTACCCTGCCTCCTTCCTCCACCCCCCCCCCCCCAAATTCTCCGGAAACCTACAGTGGGACGTGAGCTCATTAGTTTCGTAATTACAACGCCGTTGTGCGACTTCTGTGCGCTTTGAGCTCAGCGAGCCACACAGCGAGCTTCCAATTTGTGTCAGTTTCGTTCGGGTCACTTCTCGTTATTCGATGAGTTATTTTTAAAAAAATTATGTTCGAGGAAAGAAAAAAAATATATCCCAATTTGATTGTGCGGACACGAATATATATACACACGTGGGCACCTCAACCTCTTCCCAGGACGTTACGGGCAACGTGGAAGAGTAGGCCAAAGGTGCCCCCCGGACAGCGAGGCTCTCTTTTAAAGTTCCCTCTAGCGGAGGCCGCTTGCGCCAGCAGCGACGTGGGCTGCGCTTTTAATCTCGACCGTGCATATCAACGTAGCAGGACGCCTCCTGAAAGTAAATTGAGACCGACTTCAGAAGGGTTCCGTGCGTAAATGCTTCGAAATTCGCCATCAGCCACGACCGATCGATACACTGCTGGATGAAGGCTGCCTTCCCCCACGCCGTCGCCGTCTCTCGTCCGGCAACACTGCACACGAGCCGACTGCGTCGCTCCATCTCCGCGGCGGACGAAAGATTTGCTCTCATGCGCTTCCCTCCTTTGTGGCTGCCACTCCATCCTTAGTCTCGACCCCGCCCGGCCATCACCACCATCATCATCATCTCTTTACGCCATGACGTGTCCTACCAGAGCCCAACCACCTTTCTAAACACTCATTTTCAGATGTCCCCAAGTTGCGCGCGATCTCGAATTCACGTACTCCTCGTTCCTCCTTCTGCCTCTTGAGTGCAATTCCGAGCTCGCAGTGCCTCCTCTGTGATTTCCTTGCACACCTTTCAGTTGTAGCCCCATCATCATCATCATCGTCATCTTCTCTGCGATGGTCAATGTTTTCTTCCTCCATGTCGCAGCGGAGTGATAACCTTGGTCTGAAGTCACATTACAGATGCAGGTTATTTAGTGATGCTGCTGCGTTGGCAATGGTTCACAAGTAGAAATAACAACAAACTCACATTCATCAATAGCACTGTGATGTTAAAATAATCATGTATATAATAGGCAACGTGTCGTGCAGTGTCCATTCTTCATACCACACGCCTATTAATTCCTTTAAGGCAGTGTTATTGTACGTATGTTGAACTTCTTTCGCACCGTACGTACCCAACTGTACTCATAGAAGGTGCAGGTCAAGGACAACAAACCTAAACGGGTTCTATTTTATAGACATGCCATTATTCCCACAATTAAGTTCAGTTTGTATTAATAACACTCCAACCTCACCGTGTCCACCTCTCCACTCGTTCGTGGTGCATTTGCCGTGGAGCAGCATTATGAGTCAAACTAAAATCATCTGAAATGCGCTCTGGGTCTCGGCGTACAGCAACGTCGCTGTGGTCCCGTCAACCTATCGGCTCTGCAGACCAATCACATCCCGACGCACGACGCTCGACCACGAAAACCCCGTGCCCGGCTTCAGCATTCTGGGCCTCGTCCGCGGAGTGAGCCTTTGAATTCGTCCTTTGGATCTGAGTCCGCCTCCCCCCAAATCAAGTGCCCGAGGGAATTCAGGGAACTCCCGCAGGGATAGTCACAGGGCATTGTTCGTCTACAGAATGGGCCGGTGGTGGTTGTGGTGGGGGGGGGCGGTGGTGGGAGAGACACTCACATGAATTTGAGAAGCTCACACGGGGAAGTCCTCAGTGGGAGCGCCGGGGAACAATGCCACGAGTGTTTGTGGGTGGTGGCTGTGGGAGCCAGGGAGTAAGTGGTTCGGGGGGGGGGGGGACATGGGGGATATGGATCTGTGGTGGCGGGGTGGTTGGGGGGGGGGCTGTGTTTTTGGGGGAGTTCATTCATGCACGACGCTTTGTTTTGTGTGCGGCGACAGGGTTCAGCGCGAGCAATGTGCAACGTCAGTTTTACGAATTCAAATGCGGAATATAAATAATGGAACGCAACTCGCGCAAGAGGAACGAAGCAGCACCAAGCGAGTGGAGCGCTCCGAGTTGGGTTACCCCGGACATCTTCTTGGTTCTTTCGGTAAAGTCACGTGGAAGGGAAATAATAAAATAATAAAAATAAAACATCATAAAATAATTCTCACGACGTTTCGGCCACAACGCAAGCAGCCGTTGTGGCCGAAACCTCGTGACGTAAAAGGGAAATAATAATAAAATAATAAAAATAAAACATAATAAAATAATTCTCACGACGTTTCGGCCACAACGCAAGTAGCCGTCCTTGTGGCCGAAACGTCGTGAGAATTATTTTATAATGTTTTATTTTTATTATTTTATTATTATTTCCCTTCTACGTGACTTTACCGAAAGAACCAAGAAGATGAATCCCTGCAGTCACGAAAGCTTTAAATCGAAATTTACCCCGGACACTTTGCCCGCAGCAACCCCCCGCTGCCCGGCGTGGGTGAAGTATGGCCACACGAACAACCCCCCCCCTGCCCCCCAACCCGATCGACACGGCGTGTGGGAGGCCTTCATCCAGCAGTGGATTGATCATAGCTGCTGCTGTGCTGCTGATAACAATGATGATGGTTACTCTAATTTCCTCCCGCACGTTCCAACTCTGAACGTAAGACATTTGGGCCAAACATCTCAATGCGATGCGCAGATAGAAATCCACGCGTAGGCATGGTTGTTCTTCCTTGTACAGAATGGTGGGGGGGGGGGGGTAAAACTTGGATTGAAAAACATCCGTCCCATCTGTGTAATTGTAAGATTCTAATCATCCACCTCCCCACGACTTCTCCCCCTCTGTATCCCCCCCTCGCCCCCCCTATTTGCCCCCTCCCCCACCGCCCCCCACAGCCGAGAAGGTGACGTCACTGGGCAAAGATTGGCACAAGTTTTGTCTCAAATGCGAGCGCTGCAGCAAGACGCTGAGCGCCGGCAGCCACGCCGAGGTGAGACCTCCTCCTACACCCCCTCATCTAGCCACGTGCCACACAAAGGCAAAGATCCCCCGCATAGCCTCAACACACTGTTGGGGCAAGTGCTGCTCGTGAGCACCTGTGAAGGCTGGCCGGCACACGAGGGGGTGGGTGGCCAGCACCACAGACAAAGATCCCCCGCATAGCCTTAACACACTGTTGGGGCAAGTGCTGCTCGTGAGCACCTGTGAAGGCTGGCCGGCACACGAGGGGGTGGGTGGCCAGCACCACATACAACGATCCCCTGTGTAGCCTTAACAGACTGTAGGGGCAAGTGCTGTTAGCGAGCACCTATAAAGGCCGACACGGCACACGAGGGGGTGGGTGGCCAACACCACGCCCGGCCGCCTTTGTCTCCCCAGTGACGATGTTTAATTTCTCCACAAACGGCACCGGCGACTCGTTTAGGGCCGAGTCGACCCAGGGGAGGCCCGGGTCCGGTTCAGATATTCGCTGTCACTGTTGGGTGTGAATAGTAACATTGCAGGTTCACTCCTAAGTGACACTGACAATGCAAGGAAAACTAAACTATTTAAACTATATTTCGATTTAAAGCTTCTTTCGTGACTGCAGGGATTCATCTTCTTGGTTCTTTCGGTAAAGTCACGTAGAAGGAAAATAATAAAATAATAAAAATAAAACATAATAAAATAATTCTCACGACGTTTCGGCCACAACACAAGCAGCCATCTCCAGGTCGAGAACAGGTCGGTCGAAAAGGCAGAGTCTGAATGGCTGCTTGCGTTGTGGCCGAAACGTCGTGAGAATTATTTTATTATGTTTTATTTTTATTATTTTATTATTTTCCTTCTACGTGACTTTACCGAAAGAACCAAGAATATTTAAACTTTGTTTTAGTTGACCAGGTAAGGCGCACTAAGCTGTCTAGCTTTTTTTTTAGAAGCGACCTGGCCACAAATGATATCACAACGAAGTGGCTTCCAACGTGGAAATTTCTAGCAGCCAAATGCTCTTAACGTATGTTTCTAAATGTGGAGGGAAAAAAACGGAGGTCCCGGAGAAATAATCCACGTGACCACGGGGAGAGAGGCACCGTGAACTCCAAATATTCAAACATCGTCAGGATCGGGATGGAGCACACCACCTCCTGTATACCAGGCGAGGGAGTTAACATCTCGCCAGCGTTGCAAGGCCCCGTCCCCCACTCGCACCGCCTTCCCTGTAGCCCCCCCCCCCCCTATCCGTGGTGAAATTCTGACCCCATCCACGAAACAACAACCACTTAAATAATGACTTAAAGCTTTCGTGACTGCAGTAATTCATATTCTTTGGGTCTTTCGGTAAAGTCACGTTAGATAGATTCGAATAAAATAATACCGCTCTTCCTGATGACGAGCGCTTGTGTTGCGATCGAAACGTCGTTGTTTTTTGTAATTTGTTTTGTTATTTTCTTTTAACCTATCTACGCGACTTTACCGAAAGACTCAAATAATATCAACAACCCCCTTGTTACCCACGACCACCCCTAATTTCTAGCCACCCTTCCCTGCTCTATTCCCCCCCCCTCCCACCAGACCCCCACCTGTCAATCACTACTCCCATCTCCACCGCCTTTGCTTGCGTCATTCATGAACGGCAGCAGCAGCAGCAGATGTTGCGCTGTGGCGGTTGACGATGCTAATCTATCCAGAAGCAGGGCCTTCAGATACAGCTCATTGCTAAATTGCAATTTCTAATTTCTCTCTTGAGCAAAAGTGACAACCGTTCTACGCCAATGTACGACCGAACACTCACTGAGCATAATGACACTTCGTGCAGGAGTCAGCGGGTGGCTGTTGTCGTCCTTTGGCAGACTCGACCCCGCCATACGAATGTGGAATTTCCACCACTGGCTTTGCCGGCTGTAGGCGGGAGATGAGCACCGATGTCACGATGCTCGTTTGAGCTGCAGGACGTCACTCTGGCGTTGACTTTCTTAAAGTCCCAAGTGTGGCTCTTGATTGAACGCCGGTTAATGCGCATTAAACATGGGCGCTCCTGCAGCACTTGTGTCAATCCACTGCTGGATGAGGGCCCTCCCCCACGTCGTGCCGGTTGTCGGCTACATCTGTCCATACTTCACCACGCTGGGTTAAGTGCGTGTTGGCGACGGTTGATGCATCGATATGGGATGTGCTTTCCCCAACAGTGCCCCCCCTCCACTCAAAACGTTTAAGGCAGCGGATATGAGCGCAATGGGCGAGATTAATGCGTGCACTCAAAACACGTGGCGTGATTCCTCGCGCGGCTATTGAGAAATAAGAGCAGCCGTCTCCGCTCATCCCCGTTGCACGCGCGACAGATTGTCGGCAGATGTGTGTGTGTGTCCTTGTGTGTACCCGTGTGTGTGTGTCCTTGTGTGTGCCCGTGTGTGTGTGTGCCCTTGTTGTGGGGAGCGGTAGTGGAGCGGTTAGTGCGCTGCGCTATGAACCCGGCGACCCGAGTTCGACTCCCGCTCACGGCCAACACCAGTGGCGATTATCTGAACCGGCCCTGGGCCTCCCCTAGGTCGACTCAGCCTCAAATGAGTACCTGGTGCGGTGTATAAGCATCACCACTAGGGAGACAAAGGCGGTCGGGCGTGGTGCTGGCCACCCACCCCCTCGTGTACCATTGCGGCCTTCATAGGTGCCCGCTAACAGCACTTGCCCCTACAGTCTGTTAAGGCTATATAGGGGATCTTTATCTTTGTCTTGCCCTTGTGTGTGTGTGCCCTTGTGTGTGTGTGCCCTTGTGGATGTGTGCATGTGTGTTCGTGTGTCCGTGTGTGTGTGTGGCTTTGTCTTTGTTGTGACCTTGTGTTATCCGTGTGCGTGTCCGTGTGTGTGTCCATGTCCGTGCGTGCGGGAAAGCGGTAGTGTAGTGGTGGGCGCACTGCGCTGCAAACCCGGCAACTCGAGTTCGATTCCCGCTCTCACGGCCAAACACAAGTGACGATTATCTGAACCGGTCCAGGGCCTCTCCTCGTTCGACTCAGCCTCCAATGAGTACCTTGTACGGTGGCTTGTAAACATCGCCACCCACAGAGTGGAACAACGTGGACGTCCAGAATAAACACCTCATCCTAGACCTAAACATTGCACCTCCTGCCTTTGATATTCCTCCCTTTCTCGGAGACACCGATGAAACTATATCATCGATGCCAGGCCGATGCGCACATCTCCTTCGTACGAGCCACAGTAGTACGACTGTGGTGGACACGTGTATCCCATAGAGAGAGACACATGGAGACAAATAGAGATGCATAGACACACAGAGACTCGTACAGATACATAGAGACACACAGAGATAAGCCATAGGAATGTGACTGTGGCCTTTAAACCCCAACTATCCTCTAGTAAACCCATAGATACATATATAGCTAGAGACACGTAAAGATGCACAGAGACACGTAGATATGCATAGAGACAATTAGAGATACATAAAGACACATAGAGACGCAGAGATACATTAAAGACAAACCACAGTAGTGCACTTGTGGCCATGCAACCAAATCTATGGACCATACGGTGAACCCAGTTTCAACAGAGGAGTAAGAATAGCAAAACCGCACGAAATCTCTCTGCTGAAGCCCTCTCGTCGTAGCCAGGAGCAGGCCTCGACATCGGACATTGAGTTCTTGAATCACATTGCTGCTGCTGCCGCCACACTCAGCGACAGAATAGAATATTGATTTGAAGCTTCCGTGACTGCAGGAATCCATACTTTCTGGTTCTTTCGGTAAAGTCACGTTGGTAAAAAATTAAATAAATCAGACGTTTCGGGTGCAACACAAGCGTCCGTCATCAGGTGGGAAGGCAGGATAAAATAGAATATTGACATTGTTGTTGTTGTGTGGTGTTGTCTGTTTGTGCGAGCAGCACGCTGGCAAGCCCTACTGCCACAAGCCGTGCTACGCCACACTCTTTGGACCCAAGGGTGAGTTCACGCGACGAAGGGCCTCGCCACGCCGTGCGTGTCCTGGCGGGTTCGTTTGACCGTACTTCACCGCACACGCGCGCGCGGTCGGTGCGGGTTGGTGGTGACACATGGCGGCTGCCTGTGATCCAGCGCTGTGGAGGCAGCAGCGAGGGTTGGTGGGTCACCACCGCACTGATGTTGTGGTGAAACTTGCCTTCCCGTGGGGGTCGAGGAGGTGCCGTACCCTGGCTCGCCAGGAGAAGGCAGCACAGCAAGCGGACTAATCGCCATCTGTTTACATCTGTATGGGGACAGAGTGTTGCACCCTAGCGCGATGCGTGGGGTTTTCTCCAGGTGCTAGCCCGAACCCATTGGCTAAAAATGTTTTAAAATAAAGACCCAGTGCAGGGCCCTCCTGAAAATGAGCCCTAACGACTCAGTTTGGCTCTCTTGGATAAACTAATCAAGTATTTATTGATGCATTTTACAGCAATGGATTTGTCTGCACTGCCCTCTGCTGACCAAAACGCAGCCTCAGCAGAAGCAGCAGCAGCCTATAGCACCTGTGTTATACCATAAAAACATCTCATCTAAACTATTATTGTACCATCTTGCAGGAATCCATACTCTTTGGTTCTTTCGGTAAAGTCACGTAGGTATAAAATAAAATAAATCACGACGTTTCGGGCGCAACACAAGCGTCCGTCTGATGAAGAACCAAAGAGTATTATTGTACCAAGTAAGGGCCCACTGAGCTATGTAGCTCTTCTTTCAGAAGCGACATGGCCACAAATGATATCTCAACGAAGCGGTTTATCATGTATACATTTATAGCGACGCAAGTTAATTCTAAACGTGGAGGGAAAAACCAGAGGACCCAGAGAAAAATCCACACGACCACGGGGAGAGAGAGAGAGAGAACATGCAAAAATTCCAAATATATAGCAGGCGTCAGGGTCGGGGTTGAACGCACGACATCCTGTATACCAAGCGAGGTAGTCAACATCTCGCCACCGTGGCGCCCTACACACAAGGGTCACCCATCAAAGCACCATCCAGGCACTATCCAGGCCAAAACCCTACGAAACTCGGCGAGGTTTGGCTGTAGGCGCACGTGATAAGACGACACTCGCAGCGCCGCACAGACAGGCTGGTCAAAGTCAGAATGTTTATTTATACCGGAGGAATGTCATGGCCCACAAAGCTCTTTTCACATATGTCCGGTAGGGGCACGGGTTCAGAACTTTATAGCAACAAAACTATAAAAAAACACGACACGAGTGCAAAGTGTATGGGAAAGGTAAACAGTGACCCGCTTGAGATTTTGAAGTTTCCGTGACTGCAAGGATCCAAACTCTTTGGTTTTTTAGGTAAAGTCACTTAGGTGAAAACAAAATCAAATGAAAATTAAACAACTAAATTAAATCACGACGTTTCGGAAGCAACACAAGCATCCGTCATCAGGTGTGACCGCTCCAGCATACGCTACAGTATTTTTTCTGGAGCTGTCACACCTGAAAAACTAAAGAGTATGGTGACCCGCTTGCTCTACTGCCACCTGGTGGCTTAAGCTCAAAGCGATCGTAGTCAAGACCCACCGCTCCTCACGGCGACCAAGACCACCTCCAGAACTTGGCTCGCCACAAAGACCATCACCACCACCACCACATCGGCCAGAGTAGCGAGATTGCCGGCTGTCGACTCCGGCAGTCTGACTCCTTCAGCTACGATTTCTCCGTGGTTGTTTTTGCTCCTATTTCTCTTTGCTTCTTTGTTGTACTTTTTTTTGTAACGTTTTTTTCTCTTTTCTTATTGTAAAGTTTTTTCTCTCTCTACTTTTCGTGACTTTCATTCTCTTAACTTTAAAAAAAAAATTATCTTTTCTTCTCGTAACGTGTTTTTGTCACGTTTTCTTCTCTTTACTTTTCGTGACTTTAATTCTCTTAACTTTTTACAAATTTTTTTTCTCTTTTCATTTCGTAACGTGTTTTTGGTGTTAGGCTTTTGTCATCGCCGGCGACTCCCAGGTCCCTCTTGCAAAACGACGCTCAATCCTGGTCTCTCTTGAGCTCCCCACGTGGTTATTGACAATAAACTTGAAGAGAGAGGGGACCCTCTTCCTTGGATGTCGAAGCAATGAGAGACTCACTGTGCCTTGCACCATCAAGAGGCTGTCAAGTTTCAAAGATCAGCGCTTAATGAAGCCGTTAATCTCGAGCACCTGCAGTCTGTTGTATAAGACGCCTCGAGCGAACACCATCAGCGGTAATTGACGGTGAATTAAATAGACAAGAAAATAATCCGTCTCTAATGCGTAAAGAATGCAGCTATTGCAAGAAGAGTCTTTACCCATTATGGCAATGACACAGGAGGTGTTCATATGTTCAAACCGCCAATAGACAACACATTTTTCAAGGAGTCAAGTCTCTCTCTCTCTCTCTGCAAACAAAGCATGCTCTACTATTTGGTTCTTTCGGTAAAGTCACGTAGAAATAAAATAAATAATAGAATCCACGACGTTTCGATTGCAACACAAGCAACCGTCATCAGGTGTGAAAGAATGCAAGCTCGGACAGAGACACAGAGAGAGAGAGATAAAACACAGACACGGAGAGAGAGACACACAGAGAGACACACACATGCAGAGAGAGGCACACAAAGAGAGATACAAACACATACAGAGAGAGAGACAAAACACAGAGACACACAGAGAGAGATGCACAGAGAGAGAGAGACACACACATGAGGGAGAGACACATACAGGGAGAAAGATAAAACACAGACACGGAGAGAGACAACACACACTCAGAGAGAGACATACAGAGAGAGACACACATGGGAGGGAAACACACAGAGAGACACACACAGAGAGACACACAGAGAGACACACAGAGAAACAACGCCTCTGAGGTGAGGCATTATATAGAGAGGGGGGGGGCAGAGAAATAAGCAAGTCAATTCGTCCTCCGCTGAAGGGGCTCAGACCACAGTGGGGGTCACTGTGTTGGTCCATGGCCAAGGTGGCATGGCTATACTCCCACTACCGTGCCTCGTGCTTTTAATGTATCTCTATGGGTCTCTATGTGTCTCTACGAGTCTCTCTACGGGTCTCTATGTATCTGTATGCATCTCTAGATATCTCTATAGGTCTCGAGGTATCCTTCTGCGTCTTGACGCGTTTCCATGCGTCTGCATGTATCTCTGTGTCTCTATGTGTCTCTACGGGTCTCTATGTATCTGTATGCATCTCTACATATCTCTATGGGTCTCTATGTGTCTCTACGAGTCTCTCTACGGGTCTCTATGTAGTATCCCTCTACGTCTCGACGCGTCTCCATGCGTCTGCGTGTACCTCTGTGCGTCTCTGTGCGTCTCTGTCGCTCGCAGGCGTCAACATCGGCGGCGCGGGCTCCTACATCTACGAGCCGCCGGCGGCGGCGGCCGCCACGGCAGACGGAGGCCCCGGTTCGACCCCGGCTCCTGACCAGCCGGCCGCGACCTCGGCCGCCAAGGGGGCCGCAGCCCCCTCCAAGACGGCGAGCAAAGGTGAGGGGCGGGGGGGGGGAGGGGGGCAGACGTGGTACCGGGGGGGGGGGGGTACAACAGCCCTGTAGCGGGGGGAGGGGTAGCATTGGCAGGGGGGGGGGCTAAGGGGGGCTGAGCCCCCTCCCCTCACCCTCTGACTCACCCCACCCCAATGGCAGCTGTGGTACCAGCTGTGTTTCACACGTTGTGACGATGGCAAAACAAAGTTAAAGACAAAGGTCCCCCCTATAGCCTCAACGGACTGTTGGGACAAGTGCTGTAAACGAGCACCTCTGCAGGCCTGAATGGCACGTTAAGCATGAAGGTGTTGGTGTGGGCAACGCCACACCGGGCCGCCTTTGTCTCTCTGGTGCTGATAGTTTACACACCGCACCAGGTAATCATTTAAGGCTGAGTCGACCAAGGCGAGATCCACAACAGGTTCGGATATTTCGCCACCGTTGTTGCTTTTTTTAAACGGGAATCAAATTGGGATCGCTCGGTCCGTCAGCGCACTTGCAGCGCTAACCACTTCACGGCCAGACGTTGTACTGTATTCCTTCTATGCTCCCCACCTTCACGAGCCCGCAGTGATAATCGCGGTGAAGTATGGTCAATGATAGCCACCCATACACGACATGGACGTGGGGTGGATGACGTCATCCAGTCGTGGATTGACCAGAGGGCTTCACATCAACAAGGATGAAGTTCACGGTCCAAGTCAAAGTGGTTACCTGCCGCAAGATTAGCACTAAGCCATTGGTGCTCACCCTCCCGTGGCTACAGTGGTGGCAATTCCATATTCCTATGGCGGGCGGGTGAGTCTATAAATGAGTCAGCCAGTGTAGTATCGACATTAATCAGCTGTAGAGCCAGCACGGAGGGCCGCAGGGTCACACAGCCACAGTTGAACCCCCCCCCCCTCCCCACAAAGCAGTACTTATTTTAACCACCGCGCAGAGATGATGGGGCCGAGTCGACCAACCAAAACCAGGATTTAAAAAATAATCGCAACCCTTTCCGATTCCGTCAGCGAGCCGTTCGCCGTGTAAACCCAAACACTGAACAAGAATCCCAACAACAACATCAACAACAACAAAGAACCCAGACGAAACACGACGGCGTTGTTACGACGTCGTTAATCTCCGCCGCAGAGAGGGGGGGGGGCTACGGGCGATGGGGGGCAACGCACCTCGCCGTGTGTCCCCGTGGCGACTCGCGCGCCGCGTTGATTGAATCGCGGCGCGCCAGACCACAGGGAAGTGATTCTGGCTACAGTGAACGGGAGCTGGTTGGGAGGAGCAGGGGGGGGGTTTGAAGAGTTTGGGGGGGGGCGATTAGAGAGTGGCGGGGGGGTTAAAGAGTGGGGGGGTGGGGCGGTTGAACAGTTGGGGGGGCGAGTACAGAGTGGGGGGTGGGTGGTGAAAAGTGGTGGGGGGAGCGGTTGAAGAGTGGGGGGAGGGGGGGGTGAAGAGTGGGGGGGGGTGAAAAATGGTGGGGGGGGCGGTTGAAGAGGGGGGGTGAAGAGTGGGGAGGGGGGCGGTTGAACAGTGGGGGGGCGTTGAAGGGTGGAGGGGGGGCGGTGGAGGGGGGGCGGTGGAGGGGGGGGGCGGTTGAACAGTTGGGGGGGCGATTACAGAGTGGGGGGTGGGTGGTAAAAAGTGGTGGGGGGAGCGGTTGAAGAGTGGGGGGGGGGTGAAGAGTGGGGAGGGGGGCGGTTGAAAAGGGGGGGGGGGCGTTGAAGGGTGGAGGGGGGGGGCGGTGGAGGGGGGGGCGGTTGAAGAGAGGGGGGTGGGGCGAAGAGAGCGGGTGGAGCTGGCTTCCTATCGGCACAGTGGCGTAAATGATCTGAGTGAAAACAAAACGCTCTCTAATCAAGTCCGCGTACAAGTGGCGTGACGTGCCCTGGCAGCAAGGGAGCGTTTGATGTAATGGTCCGGATGCACTCAACGGTTGAAAGGATATTTGGACAGATTCCCACCCTGGAAGAATCTGGGTTATTATAACGATTACTATAACGATGATGGTGGTTGTAGCAATGATCATCATCAGACGTGGTCAATCCACTGCTGGATGAAGGCCTCTCCAAACCATCACCATCATCACTACACATACCATCTCAAAGACAACGATCCCCCGTGTAGCCTTGAACAGACTGTTGGGGCAAGTGCTGTTAGCGAGCACCTATGAAAGCCGGCACGGCACACGAGGGGGTGGGTGGCCAGCACTATGCCCGGCCACCGTTGTCTCCCTAGTGGCGATGTTTACACACTGCACCAGGTACTCATTCAGTGAGGCCCAGGACCGGTTCAGATAATCGTCATTGGTGTTGGTGGCTGGCAGCGGGCATCGAACTCGGGTCGCCGGGTTCGTAGCGTAGCACGCTAACCACTACACCACCGCTCCCCACCACCACCACCGCAGCAGCAGCAGCAGCACACGCAGAGGGACGGCGTGCTAATCAGGGCTCTGTTGTCTCAAGTTCGTTCACCCCTCTCTCATAGTAAAGGGACTCCCTCCCCCAACCCCCAAACCTGCCCCCCACCCCCCCAGCCTTTGGTGCTTGGCGCAGAATGCAAGTGCCGCGCTGCCACCACGGAAAGCTAACACGACACACAACAAGACGACGATCCCCCGTGTAGCCTCCGCAGGCTTTTGAGCCAAGTGCTGTTTGAAAACATGTGTGAAGGTTGGAGCGGCGCACGAGAGGGGGTGGGGGGGGGTGGTGGTGTGGCCAGCACCAGGCACGGCCACCTTTGCGTCCCCAGAGGCGATGTTTTTTTTTCCATCTCACACAAAACGGCGCCAGCGACTCGGTTACGGCCGAGTCGACCTAGGGGAGGCACCAGGGCCGGTGCAGATAATTGCCACTGACTTGTGCCATGAGCGGGAATCGAACTCGGCTCGCTGGGTCAGCAGCGCGGCGCGCTAACCACCACTGTGCCACCGCTCATAGACACACGCGCACACATTCACAGACAAAGATCCCCCGTATAGCCTGGACAGACTGTTGGGGCAAGTGCTGTTAGCGAGTAGCACCTATGAAGGACGGCACAGCACACGAGGGGGTGGGTGGCCAGCACCACGCCCGGCCGCCTTCGTCTCCCCAGTGGCGATGTTTACATACTGCACCAGGTAGTCATTCGAGGCTGAGTCGACCTAGGGGAGGCCCAGGACCGGTTCAAACAATCGTCACCGGTGTTGGCCGTGAGCGCGATTCGAACCCGGGTCGCCAGGTTCGTAGCGCAGCGCGCTAAGCAGTGCACGACTGCTCCCCACTACTGCTACCACCATCATCATCACCATGGTTGGCACGCGCACACTTTCACACACCCACGCACGCAAACAGGCGGGCGAGTGGCGCACGCGCACGCAGAGAGGATCCCCAAAGCCGCCGTTCTCTCGACGCCCATCTCCGCTCCTCTCCCTGCGACCCACGCGCCCTGCCAGCTGCAGCTGCGCGGGAGCCCTGCCAGGCTTTTAGTGGACCACATCACGGTCTCCGAAAGCCCCTAATGGGGTCGGTCAATTCGCGCCTTCCGGTCGTGCCTAGGGACTGATGATGATGATGGTGGTGATGATGATGGATGTTGTTGATGATGATGGTCATGACTATGATGGCGATGATGATGGTGACGGTGATGGATGGTGATGATGATGGTAATGACCATGATAGTGATGATGATTATGGTGATGATGGTGATGATGGTGATGACAGTGATGATGAGTATGCGCGTTGGCATGCGGGAACTCGCAGGCTGCATTGCCAAAGCAACTGGGTGGCTCAGAGGGCAGAGCGATCAGCTGGCACCGCCGAAATCCTGGGTTCGAATCCAGGGTTCAGCCGCTCATGGTTGAACCGGGCTCTCAAAGTCAAGCGGGCTGATGGAGTCAGCCTGGTCATCAGCGACTCGCATAGGGCCTCGCGGACTCACATTGACCGTGAGTCGCGATGAATCTGGACTCGCAAGTGTCGTGAGATTTCATGGAGGGTCACAGCCCGCTCATCAATAATGAAAAAAACTCATCAAACGAAGAAAATGTTTACATTATGAGACCTCCTTTGCCAGTAGCAAGATATAGTAATCGGTTTTTACCCTTTAATCTGGCACCAAAACTGACACCTTTATACAAGGGATCATGTTTGCAATAACCAGATAAAAGGGTAAAAACCTATTACTACTGAAGAAAATGTTGTTTTGCACTGAATTTGGCTAAATTCCAGAACTGGGGATTAAGACACACGGGCTTAATTGTCACGTGACGAACATTTCCCCGTAGTGGCGGGGCGGTCCCGTGCACTGCGACGAGCAGAGGTCACTCGAAGGCATCTCAGAGGTCACTCAAAGGAATCGCAGACGCAGCCTCTGCGGTATCTGCCTCCGCGGGCCGCTGTATGACGGAGCGTTAACGCGCGCCGACGCACACGCGCCCTCAAATCGATCGTTCGCACGAGCGTGCCGATGTGACATTTTTAGACTAACGGAGGGAATCAACAAGAATCGCACAAACCGGGCAGAGAAAACGCGAGAGCCGCCACAAATCGAGACGATAAATAAAAACGACAGTCGGGAGTGGCCACCCTGAATCTCGTGAGTGGGCCAATCCCTCCCACAATGCCCAGCCCATCACTAAATCACCGCCGTGATCCAATGAATACACGAGCGACCGAATGAATGAACGAATCGATGGAGCGTTGCACTCCTTTGTCGGATGCATTGCTGCCGCCACTGCTGAGTCTGACAGTAGGGTCATGACCCCCCCCCCCCTCCGTGTGTATATCTCCCACCTCCCCCTGCCCCCCCCCGTGTGCTCTATCTCCCACCCCACCTCCCCCCTGCCCCCCGCTGCCCCCCACCGCTCTCTTCTTGCAGTGAGCACCAGCATGACCTCGTTTGCGGGGGAGGTGTCGCTCTGCCCACGCTGCGGAAAGAAAGTTTACTTCGGTGAGAGACACAACAAACAACAACAATACGAAACAAAACAACAACAGCCAGCAACTAACACCAAACAACAACGAACAACAAACAAACACATTTTGATTGAAAACGTTCGCGACTGCAGGAATTCATATTCTTTGGTTCTTTCGGTAAAGTCACGTAGATAGAAAACAACAAAAGAAAAAAGAAAAGAATATTTCACAAACAAACAAACAACAACAGCGACTTTCACGTCCGCGCGCACCGCCCGCTCCCCTCACGGAGTTGGCACTTCGCTTGTGGTCAAACTCCACGGTGGCTTGAGGGTTGACCAGAGGTCGCAACCGGGTACCCGATACCCGTACCCTACCCGATACCCGGCTACCCCTACCCAGCCGGTACGGGTACTCGTTTGCGACCCTGGTGCGGCCGGGTACGGGTAGGCCGTGAGTCACTGGTGAGTAACTGTTTGTCACTCATTTCCCAACGTCTTGTCTCTTTTTACAAATTAAGTTCCTAGAATCAACCCACCCGCGCCTGCAACATGGCTTCATCCCAGAGGTCGCAATCAGGTACCCGATACCCGTACCCTACCCGTACCCGGCCGGGTACGGGTAGGTTACGGGTAGGGTACGGGTACGGCCGGGTACGGGTACGGGTACGGGTACCCATTTGCGACCCTGGTGCGGCCGGGTACGGGTACGGGTAAGGAATCAAAACCCGTTTGCGACCTCTGGGGTTGACCCACTCCCCGGTGTTCGAACTGAACTTCAGCTCGCCACGGTGTGGAGTGGGGGGGGGATGTCCCCCTTCAGTAGCTACCTTCCCACCTTTCCAAGCGCCGTGAGAATCATTCAAACTCTACGGGGGCACTGCGCACTTCACTGGAGCACTTCGTATCCGCCCGCCCCAGTCCCGACTCCCATCGCAGCATCTCACTTTGTTTCCACACTTTTCCTGCGGTGCAGCTGTTGTTGGTGTTTTTTTTTTGTTGCTGCTCCCGATTTATTTCGGCTTCATTGTTGTTGTTGTTGTTCATTGCTTTGGTTTCGTCAATATGGGCGCCACGGTGGTGAGATGTCTCCGTAGCCAACCATATGTATTACAATTTCCAGCCATTTCGGTCAAATCCACTGCTGGATGAAGACCTCTTCCTCCACGCCGTGTCAATCACGGGACGCTATGAACTCTGCTTACCGAGTGCGACTCCTGGTCTCGCGGTAGCTAGGAGATGTTAACTACCTCGCCTGGTATACAGGAGGTCGTGGTTTCGATCCCGACCCCGACCCTGACGCCTGATGTATATTCTGGAGTTTGCGGGTCTCGCTCTCTCTCCCCGTGATCGCGTGGATTTTTCTCAGGGTCCTCGGGGTTCCCCCCCCCCTCCCTCCACATTGAGAATAAACATCACGCCCCGTTCAGAGAATTTTGGCTGCTGCTGCTAGAAATTTCCGCGTGATAAGCCACTTTGCTGAGCTGTCATTTGTGATCGCCAGGTCGCTTCTGAAAACAGCAATGTATCTCAGTGAGGCCGTATCTGGTAAAATAAAAATGAGTTTCTATTTATTTATTCGGTGACCCAGGTCTTGAATTCTCAGCTGGGTCAATAAAAATGACCGAGAGCCCTACCCTGGTGATTGTTGCCGAATCAGCGCCACCAACTCCACCCACTCCATGTGTCGCGCGTATCCACTGCTGGGTGAGGGCCTCCGCCCCACGCCGAGCGGGTCGTGGGGGTTATTTGACCGCGGGTTGGTCATTGCGGGAGGGCGCTGAAGGCGGTGAACATAGAAGTACAATACAACCACCCTGTGCATTTTTCTTTGCTACGGGTACTGCTCTGCGGCCCACCACAGCAGCAGCAGCAGCAGCTGATGCCACCCAATTAATTGGACACCTGTGAAACCACTGGACATGTGTAAAAAAAAGGGGCTTTATAGCTCATCTGATTCCTCGAGTATATAAATATATAAATCTTCTGATTGTGATTGGTCGCCCAACGAAGCACTTTCCGAGCCAGAGCCTTCTTCTTCTCTCGCGAGGCCTAATGAGATTGGACGCATTGCGGGAGATTGGACCGCCGTCGTCACGAGATAAATAAATAAAGCGCTCGACCACAAGCGTCAGCGCAGTTCAATAACTCATCTCGCAATTCACTCCCCAAAGCCCCAGCACCCCCAGCATCTCCAACGGTGGGCCCCTCCCTTACCGCGTGGCGTCTGTGCGGTCTAGAGATGATTCAATCGGGCAGAGAGGCCCCGTTACGCGGTGGAGCGCGTGGGCGCATTGGATGCGACTTCGCAATGCGGAGAGAGACGTCGATCGCGCTTAGGGCATGACGCAGCAACAAACAATAGCAGCAAGAGCAACAACAGAAGCAGCAGCAGCAGCAGCAACAACAACAACAACAGTAACACAGCGGCAAACAAAGCAGCAGCAACAGCAACAACACAGCAGCAGCTACAGCAAGAACAACAACAGCAGCAGAAACAGAAAAACAACACAGCAACAAACAATAGCAACAGCAACAACAACGCAGCAACAGCAAAAACAACAACAACAGCAACACAACAACAACAGCAGCAACAGCAGCAATAACAGCAACAACAGCAACAACAATACAAAAAACAGCAATGCAACAACAACAATATCACAGCAGCACAGCAAAAACCAAAACAATAAGAGCAGCAACAACAGCAACAAAATAAAAACAGCAGCAACAACAACTACAGACTGCTCCCACCAGCGGTGTTGCGGCGTGGTTGGCATTGGCCCAGGGGCAGTTGCACCGCCTGCACTCTCGAAACATTATTCTACCCGAGCCGACGGGAAAATTATTATTCATTGTTGCACAATATTCACGATTTTTACGTGATCACGTAGAGACCCATATACTCGTATTTAAACCCATAGACTCATATAGAGACCCATAGACTCGTAGTGAAACCCATAGACTCACATAGAGACCCATAGATTCGTAGTAAAACTCATAGACTCGCATAGAGACCCATAGATTCGTAGTGAAACTCATTGACTCGCACAGAGACCCATAGACTCGTAGTGAAACCCATAGAGAGGCACAGAGGTCCATAGACTCGTAGTGAAACCCATAGACTCACATAGAGACCCATAGATTCGTAGTGAACTCATAGACTCGCATAGATGCCCATACCATCATAGTGAAACTCATAGACTCCCATAGAGACTCATAGACTCGTAGTGAAACTCATAGACTCGCATAGAGACCCATAGGCTCACACATGGACCCACTGACTTGTATTGGAACCCATAAAATTCACATAGGCGCACATGAGTTGTGCTCAAACTGGGTTCCCCAAGTGTGGCGAGTAGATGGGCTGGGCCCAGTCACCGGTGACTTAATGATGAAGATTCGGAGAAGCCGCGCAGAGGGCCACGCGCTCACTTGGATCGTCCGCGGTAAAGCTGAGCACACATCACCGCAATGACCTCAACGAGCCATTCTCTGAGTGTCCCCCTATGGACACTACGCCCCTTCAGTTGGCGGTCCGCAATCCTGGCGTCTTTGCGCTTACGGCCGTGGGAAAATAAAAATACAAAAATGTGCCGCCTCGGTGTGGAATCTGTCACGGCACGCAACCGGCGAATAAACAGAGAACGAGCGGAGAACATTCGCAAGTTTGGAGGCGTCGTGTTGACGGGTTAAGACGTGCAAAGAGGGGCTTTGGCGCGTCACGGCCACAGGCGGGCAAGGGGAGCCGCGATGACCGACGGTCGAGAATGGTGACGGAATGGCATGCCGAAGGATGGGAACGGCTCCCGATAGGAAGGACGGCCACCGTGGAGATGGCGCAGGAGATGGGAGCAGCGGTCTTGTTGTTTCTCTGCCCTGGGTTGCCCCTGGGCTGCCCCTGGGCTGCCCCTGGGCCTCGTTGTTGTTGGTGCTGCGCTGTGACTCCCAAATATCCTGCACATGGGCCCCCTCGGCTACTCCACATGGGGGCCCCTTGGTGACTATGCACAGGCACCCTTCTCCCCTTCATCCTCCTCCCACCCTCCTATTCCCCGACCGCTTTCAGCCACCTCCTCCCCATGACTGGAATTCCCCAGGAACGTAGATTGTGAATTTGTTCGTGAATTTCCCGTTCATGGTCTCCCATCGTGGCGACGCGTCACCACTCATATCGGTTAGCGCTACGCTGCACTACGGACCCGGCCACCCGAGTTCGATTCCCGCTCATGGCCAACACTAGGGCTCCCTCCCCTAGGTCGACTCAGCCTCAAATGAGTACTTGGTGTGGTGTGTAAACATCAACACTGAGGAGATAAAGGCGGTCGGGCGTGGTGCTGGCCACCCACCCACACGTGTGCTATGGTGGCCTTCATAGGTGCTCGCGAACAGCACTTGCCCCACTAGTCTGGTAAGGCTATACGGTGGATCTTTGTCTTTGTCACCGCATGTGTCATCAACTGTTGGCAAATGGACTGATCGTGGTTCTCCTCTACCCCGTGCCCCCACCCCCTCACCATCACAACCACCAACATTACCTTGACCACCACCGACCACCACTATCGCCACCACTGACTGACATCGACATCACCACGAACTACCACCAATCATGCTCATCACTACCACCACCACCCACATCACCACCACCAATCATTATCACCACCACCTGATATCGTCATCACCATTCTCCACCACCACTACAACCACCACACATTTCACCGAAAACCACTTACATCATCATCATTTTCTTTTCACCATAACCACTTTTAACACCACCAACTGTACTCCCAACACCACCCCCATCATCATCATCCATTCACCACAACCACAATCACATTTAATACCACCAACAACCACAACTATCGCACTTACTCCACCATACACTTCCAACTCCTAACGCCACCTCCATCATCATCATCCATCCACCACCATTGCCCTCCCCCCCCCTCCTCTGCCCCCCCCCCTCCCCCCACAGCGGAGAAGGTCACGTCTCTGGGTCACGACTGGCACCGCCCGTGCCTGCGCTGCGAGCGATGCAGCAAAACCCTCGCTTCGGGAGGTCACGCCGAGGTCAGTGCCCTGGCCAGACATTATCGGTCAAAGGTCAAAAAGGTCATCACGGGCCCCGTGTCTGTTGGTAACACCGATCGGCTACCTCCCTTCCCCCTGCTAGACGGCGTCGGATCGCCGGACCCCCATCATGTAAAATAAAACCACTGCCCCCTCGTCTCTCATCGACATACGAGGTGGCCGGGTGGTGGCGCCACTGAGATCTTGGGTTCGGATCCGAGAGATAACCGGCCAACTACAGTGACCTCAGCCTGGTCACTGCTAAGTCCCATTCAATTGCACAGATCTCCTAAACTCAGGGAGACCCAGAGACTCGCACAGAGACCCATAGACTCATGCAAAGACCCATAGAATCACACAGAGACCCATAGACTCACGCAAAGACCCATATAATCACACAGAGACCCATAGACTCGCGCAAAGACACATAGAATCACATATATACTCATAGACGCACACAGAGACCCATTTGACTTGCACAGAAACCCATAGACTTATATGAAGACCCATAGACCGACACATAGTCCCATAGACTCACACAGAGACCCATATAATCACATAAAGACTCATAGAATCGCATAGAGGCTCATAGACTCACACATAGACGCATAGACTCACACAGAGACACATAGACTCAAATAAACTGAGTGACGATTAAGCAGTGAGTCGATTGTCTCTGGTCAGTCATCAATGTCTGCACACACACCCCGCATATTGAATGTTTTTCACTTAATTTACATAAATCGTGATTCCAAGAATTCCACAAATATCAATGTGTATCTATGTTGAACTTGTTTCGCTCCGTACGTAGCCAACCTTGCAAATCGGAGGTGCGGCGTCGTGGTGAACATTTCTCCGTGAAGGAATTGTTTGCACAAAGCATGTCACTCGAGGAGATCTCTGCAGTAGTTCCATGACATCTTCTTCCACGGGCCGTTCTCAAACACAGGGTCGACGGCACCGCTGAGTGAGAGTTCCGACTGGATTCGCTTGGAATTGGATTGGGTGAAAATACCCCGAATCATATCGACAAAGAGGCATGCGGCGCGATTCAACATGTTTCTGGAATCGCCGCCAATCGGTTCAAGAATCGATGCATTGCGTAGCGCCTCGAGTGGTTGCGGGGGTCACGCGAACCCGTTGCATACGACGTACGCAGAGCAAATCGACATCGACGTGCCATCGCATCACAGCGTTACCAAAAAGTGGATGAACCGTCTCTGTTCATGACAGCGAACACACACCTTGCCCATGAACATCTGGCAGTTCACCAGCATTGTTGGTTCAAAGGAGCCAGAATCTGCCAATAAGACACTGAATGTCGAAACCGTGCCAGAGTGTTGCTTGTGCTGATTCGACGCGGCGGAAATTATGCGCTCTCAGAAGAAACGATTTAGCTTTTTTTATTTAGCGTAGAGTTCTTTTTCAGAAGCGACCTTGCCACTTACGAGAGCTCAAAGAAGTGGCTTATCGCATGGAAAGTTTTAGCAGCAGCCAGATACTCGAAACGCGCGTTGATTCTGAATGTGGAGGGACACATGGGATAGAACATGCAAACTCCAAATATACAGCAGGCTTCAGGGTCGGGATCGAACCCACGGCCTCCTGTATACCAGGCGAGGTAGTCAACATCTCCTAGCCACCGTGATGATGATGAGAGAGAGACGCAAATTCCAAATATACAGCAGACGTCAGGGTCGGGGTCGAACCAACGCCCTCTTGTATACCAGGTGATGTAGTTAACATCTCCTAGCCACCGTGATGATAATGAGAGAGAAAAATGCAAACTCCAAATGTACAACAAACGTCACGGTCGTGATAGAACCCACGCCCTCCTGTATACCAGGCGAGGTAGTCAACATCTCCTAGCCACCGTGGCACGAAGGCAGGCAGTTGGGCCGACGATGGGTTGTGTAAGATTGATTTTTTATATTCATTCGGAGAGACGGTCATATGAAGGGGATCCATTGTCTCGCTCGTCTCGTCTGCTATTTATATTCTCACCATGACGACGCTCCTCACGCCGGCTGCGAGTTGCTCGCCGTCAGCGAATGCGCTTGCATTCCCACCGGCCACAAACGCCGCGGCGCGAGCCTCCAGGCGGACGCAGCGGTCGTTGAGCTACAGCCGTGATCGCGAGCTCAGCGACGGCTGCAGAGTGCCACGGTGTCTCGTCTTCCGTGGGAGGCTGAGCGGATGACGGCGACGACGACGAGGACGACGAGGAGATGCATCGTGCACCGGGGGTAGACTTCACGTGACGTTGGAAGTCGCCGCGGGCGTTGACCCTTCCGCGATCGTACGAGTTGGAATTGAGCTTCGGCAACAGCAGCGGCAGAAGCTCGCGTTGGGAATGTGCCCGTAACGTCAGATGTGTCTCAGTGTGCAGAGACATTGAGGAAGAGGGGGAGGGAGCAGAGGGGAGGGGGCTGAACAAGGAAAGCAGGGTGATGAAGTGACTCGTTCACTCACTTTTCACGCTGTGTGTCCTGACTTCTGGGCCACCTTGTGTGAGGTTGAATAACTGCAGCCAGACGGACACTCATTCATGATTCAATGCGGACCTCTCTTGGTCAAAGAATATCGCCTCTGTGGGCAACGGAGAACAGTCGGCACGCCACTTACAAACAAACAAACTCAAGTTTATCTTCTTGGTTCTTTCGGTAAAGTCACGTAGAATTGAAATAATAAAAGTATTCATTCAGACCCTGTCTCCTCGACAGACCTGTTCTTCACCTGAGGACGGCTGCTTGCATTGTGGCCGAAACATCGTGAGAATTATTTTATTATGTTTTATTTGTATAATTGTATTATTTCCATTCTACGTGACTTTACCGAAAGAACCAAGAAGATGAATCCCTGCAGTCACGAAAGCTTTAAATCGAAATTTAAACTCAAGTTTAGATTCTAACTCGTCCACCTGCAGGAGCCATTATCTATCCACTGCTGCATGAGCGCCTCCCAGGAGCCGGAGCCACCTCTCGCATTGTTCCGCAATGCGGTTGTCGATCTGTCCGGGTCGTGCACACGCCGAGCTCAGACTAGTGGGTTCGAGTGAACTCCACTGCTGGTTGAAGGCGCGCCGACGCCGTGTCGGTCACGAGGGTTGCTTGACCATATTTCACCAGGCTGGTCAACGTGGCACGGTTCGGATATCATCACCTGCCACTGATGCGAGCCGTGGCCAGCCCAACGGGATCGTCAGCAATCACGTGTGTAGTGTTATCGATTTTATTTTGCAATGGATATCCTATGGCGAGACGTGTTCCTGTCATGTGAATGTGGAATTTCCACCAGCGGCTCAGCTAAGCAGGATTTGAGCCTGGGCGCTGTTTGGATGAGTGACCACCACCACCACCACGCACAAACAGGTTGCCATCGGTGAATGCAGGGCAACGTTGCTTGCAGCAGAAATCCATTGTTGTACCATACTTCTATGCCCTCACGTCTATGGCCCCCATCCCTCGCTCACCAACACGTGGCGAAATAGGGTCAATATTGCAGCATGCATTCTACGTGCCTGTGTACGGGATGTGGGGAGCGGTAGTGTAGCGGTTAGCGCGCTGCGCTACAAACCTGGCGACCCGGGTTCGATTCCCGCTTCACGGCCAACATCAGTGACGATTATCTGTACCGGTCCTGAGCCTCCCCTAGGTCGACTCAGCCTCAAATGAGTACCTGGTGCGATGTGTAAACATCGCCACTGGGGAGACAAAGGCGGCCAGGCGTGGTGTTGGCCACCCCACCTTATCGTGTGTCGTGCCTGCCTTCATAGATGCTCGCTAACAGCACTTGCCCCTACAGTGTTAAGGCTATACGGGAGATCTTTGTCTTTGTACGAAATGTGGAGTGTTCACCATGAGCCGTGACGCGACTGCATTCGGCACGGCATTCATTGATTGCATTCGTGAGTGGCACGTGACGGACGGAACGTTGCCCAACCCACGGAGACCCCCCTCCACCCCCCCCTTCACCCCCCCTTCACCCCCGGGGGGTGGTGGGGGGTGGAGGGGGATCGCTTGCCGGGGATGGGGCGTCACCTTGGGGTCGCGCGCGAAGAAGATTGAACTCAACGAAGCTATTTGTGTTTTTTATTGGACTCTTTCAAAAGCGACCTGGCCACAAGTGATAGCTCAACGAAGTGGCTTATCGCCTGGCAATGTATAGCAGCCAAATACTCCAAACGCATGTTTCTTAATCAAGTTCAAGTTCATTTATTAGGTATAGCCCTGTGAGCCATTCGGCTCTTGAATCGAGTGCAACCGCAACAAACAAAAAACATAAACATGAACAAAAAACATCTTAAAGTGGATATGTGACTGAGTGCAAACAGAAAATCCAAGAAAAGACAGCAAAATATTGCAGAAAAAAACACCGTTCACCAACGCTGTGTGAAAAAATCCCAGTGGGATGCAAGTCAAACAACAACAACCACAAGACAACTTAGATTAATGCTATCAGTCTAACTCTGTACTACAACAAACAAACATGGCTAAACCAATACACTTTTCGAAATCACCAAAATGTGGAGCGGGTAGGGGGGGAAATCGGAGGACCCGGAGAAAAATCCACATGACCACGGGGAGAGAGACACGCAAACCCGAAATATACAGCAGGCATCAGGGTCGGGATCGAACCCACGACCTCCTGTGTACCAGGCGATGCAGTTAGCATCTCGCCACCGTGGCGCCCCTCGATTGCCAATGAGTTTGATTGTCAAGCGAGGATCGTTGGATCGCACGCAGACGTTGGGGAAATTCCTCTACCGTGCAAGTCGAGGTAGGTGCCTTACCCTGGCTCGCCAGGAGAAGGCGGTACAGCAAAACAATGTGGACTCCACCCGTGTCAAGTTTGTTGTCCTTCCCCCGCACCTCCGATTATCACGGTTGTTTGCGTACGGTGCGAAAGAAGTTCAACATACATACGTTCCGTCTGTACGGGATAGAGTGTTTCCCCCTCGCGCACACGTGGGTTTTCAGCTCCGGGTGCTCCGATTTCCTCCCGACCATCAACGCTCGTCAATTGGCTGATCACACCTCAATATGTAGAGGCTCGCAGAGCTTGGAGAATCGTTGGTAGCGTCCGGCTCCTCGCCACCGCGTGGCTGCTGCCTCCCCGCTCGTCTGTGGTTACCTCCTCGCGCCTCTGAGTCGCGTCCCCTCCTGCTTAAGAGCGTGGAGTCATCCTCGTTTATGTGGCGTTGACGTTCATGATATTATTATTATTTATTAGATTTTTTTTCTCTCTCTCAAAGTCAAAGCAATTTCATGTTCGAATGAGCATCGACCCCGTACTCATTTCCTGTTTACATCCCTGAGCCAGATGTGGAAATTCCACATTGCTATGGCGGAGGCGAGTCTGCTGTCCATAAGGCATACACCGTTGAATTTCCCACAAGAAATGTATACGAATTCTATCAACAACCCCCAACCAGGATTTGAACTCGCAAGCTTCCTCTTGCGAGCTGCTTGATCTACATTACGCGATCATCATCATCATCATCAATGAGTAATAATTTACCGCCCCCTTGACAATCCACTGCTGGATGAAGGCTCTCCACGCTTTGTCGGCAGTGGGGGTTGTTTCACCATACTTCACCGGGCTGGTCGGTGCGGCTTTGAGAAGTCCAACGATGCACCCACCTCGCGTGATTAGATAAACTGCCTCGTTTGTATTGTCTGCCTCGTTTGTATTGTCTCGTTGGTATTGTCTCGTTTGTATTGTCTATGTCCTTTGTATTGTCTGCCTCGTTTGTATTGTCTCGTTTGTATTGTTTCGTTTGTATTGTCTCGTTTGTATTGTCTCGTTTGTATTGTCTCGTTTGTATTGTTCGCCTCGTTTGTATTGTCTCGTTTGTATTGTCTGCCCCGTTTGTTCCGTTTCACGTGTTCCATCTCGCACTGCCTCATTCGTCTCCATTAGCGAAGAGGTAACATTTGCGTACAGTCCATCCACCCGGTGGCGCTATTACCAACGAGGACTCAGAAGCGATATTTAGCCTGCAAAGCGATTCTATCAGCGCAGGACAAATCTGACCCGTCGGATACAATGTCTGCCCAACGCAGTGGCTGAGCGTGCCAAAGGCGAGTAGTCGCAGTGCTCGCCGTGCAAGGCCCCCTCGTACCCGATCAGTGCGGCCAAGACGCTCGCGCGGTGACGGACAATCACCGTCTGCACCACTACGGTATTCCTCAATGTGGCCGCGTGGCCCTTGGGGTGAAATGAAGTCGTTTGGAGCGCGGGCTGCGGGTCCGTCTCTTGCGGCAGTTCCACACGGACGTCGGGCGTAGGCAGGGAACCCCGTTGCGGGTGGGCACCAGCTGGGCGGTGGGTGCAGGTGTAGGGTGCGGCAGCGTTGCGTGAGAACGCACCACTTTGGCTCGGCCAACAACAACAACAATAAAAAAAACATCCCGTGGAACAAATCCTGCGGCAGGCGCGCACGTGCGTGCGTGCATTATTTAGAACCGCGTCACAATCGACCACGTGGCCAATTGACGCGCAGCGACATTTCTGCAGGGTTCTAACACGCAACGGGGTTTCCGCGATTAGTAGCCGGTGCCAGTTAGCAACTTACTCCATTAAAAGCCTCGTTGAGTCTCGGGACTGTTGTTGTTGTTGCTGCTGCTGCTGCGTTGGGCGTTTGGGGATGTTTGGCTTCGTGAGAGAGGACACCACACAGCCCAAGACCCAGCGCAGAGAGAATTGATGTTCGGTCGAACTCCTGCCACCCCTGTAATTGGAAGCGGGAGAAATTGCTCGGCTCATTCAATTATTAAACGAGCTCGTTTTTCTTGACCACAGTGTGCTAGGAGATGTTAGCTACCTCGCCTGGTGTACAGGAGGTTGTGGGTTCGATCCCGACCCCGACGCCTGCTGTATATTTGGAGTTTGCGTCTCTCTCTCTCTCTCTGTCAGTGGTCATGTGGATTTTTCTCCGGGTCCTCCAGTTTATTTCCCTTCCACATTTAGCATGCGTTTCGAGTATTTGGCTGTTATACATTTTACACCTGATAAGTCACTTCGTCCAGCTATCATTTGTGACCAGGTCACCCCCGAAAAACAGCTCAGTGGGCCTTACCTGGTAATTATAAAAAAAAACTATCTTTTAGTCAGTTGAGTTTACATCCTGAGAGTGAATTTATTGTAATGTCTAAATTGCTGGCCTTCTCGTCAGCGAAGCAGGCTAGAGCCTCGGAACGGTGGCAACAAGACACGGCTGCTCGAGGCAGCGTGGTCAGTGTAGAGGGCAGCGCAGTAGAATCTATAATTGTCCATTATTGATTTCCACCACCACCTTCAACCGACCCGCACTGACCGGCGTGGTGAACTATGAGACCTCTGACCCCACCCACGTGGTGTTGTAGGAGGAGGCCCTCGACCAGCAGCGGATTTCAATAATAATTTATATGTCTGACTGTGTCGAGTGGTGAAGGGTCTTCACGACACAACTTCGACTCGATCATACACATGGCCTGACCCCCCCTCTCCCTCCTCCAATAAATACATAATTAATCATATGTCCTTCAATGACAACGATCACAAATAGGGATGTGGACATTCACAAAGGAAGCGAATAAGTCATAGGGCTGCGTGGAGTGGGTAGCAGATGACAGCGGAGCAGAGGAGTAAGGGGCGGGGAGATTGGGGTGCGGGTGGGCTGTGAGGGGGGGCTCAGAGAAGATATGGGGGAGGAGGAGATGTGGGGGGGTCACATTTCACACGACTCGGATATCACTGACCACTAAGCGTGGCGACCCAGCAAAAGCCACCACCACCATCATCATCATCGCCACCGTCGTCATCGTCCGAGCGCGGTCACGGGAGAAGTGTTTGCCCGGCGTTCCTGACAATCGCCCCGACCGTTGACACAGACACGCGAGACGCACGCGCCACCAGGACAGGTGCGCTCCAGACGACACAATAACGCCGAGGCAAATAACGCGAGCGATTAACCCCTTGGGCTCCGGCTGTGTGTGGAAGCCCCCCCCTGGGAAATTAGCGCGCATTGTAGTTTCGTCACCCCCCCCCCATCCCCCTCCACCCGGTAGCGGTCGTGTCGGGCACGTCCTTTGGAGATCGTTCCTCCGCATTCACGAGTCACGCGGCGAACATCTGCTCGCTAAATCGTCCCCCTAATCGCCGACCAAGTCAATGGGAGTGTCACGCGCGGCAACAAAGGGCAGCGCGAGCTGTTGTTGTTGTAAACACAGCCATCGTCCTTGCCCTCCACTCCGTCCAGGTGTGGTCGGTGACATCACCTGTCCTGGGGTGTTCTAATTACACCCCCCCCCACACACCGTAACCCCGCCCCGCCACAGGTGTGGAGGTCACCTCGCGCAATTACAGCCAAGGTGGTGGTGGTGGTGCTGGTGGTGTTGGTGGTGGTGGTGTTGGTGGTGGTGGTGGTGTTGGTGGTGGTGTTGGTGGTGGTGTTGGTGGTGGTGGTGTTGGTGGTGGTGTTGGTGGTGGTGGTGGTGGTGTTGGTGGTGGTGGTGTTGGTGGTGGTGTTGGTGGTGTTGGTGGTGGTGTTGGTGGTGGTGTTGGTGGTGGTGGTGGTGTTGGTGGTGCTGGTGGTGGTGGTGGTGGTGTTGGTGGTGGTGGTGGTGTTGGTGGTGGTGGTGTTGGTGGTGGTGTTGGTGGTGGTGCTGGTGGTGGTGGTGGTGTTGGTGGTGGTGGTGTTGGTGGTGGTGTTGGTGGTGGTGATGTTGGTGGTGGTGGTGTTGGTGGTGGTGTTGGTGGTGGTGGTGGCGTTCCATGTTCCCGCGGTGCGGTTGTGTCGGGCAGGGCCCACACTCACCAACAGCGTCCCGTCCCACGCTACAACCGGCGCACGACGCATATAATACAGTGCTCAGAGGGCCCTTACGCGATTAAATAAAATGAAACTGATTATTTTTATGTTACATTTACCACCCACGATGACATCAACGGTGAGAGACGTTGATCCCCGATAAAGAGAGGCTCACAGAGTTGATTTACTGACGCGTAACATCTCCACTTCTCCCCTCTCACCCTGCCCCCCCCACCCCCGTTCCCTGCAGCATGACGGGAAGCCTTACTGCCACGTGCCGTGCTACGGCCTCCTCTTCGGCCCCAAAGGTTCGTCGCCTCGCACGGCACCATCCGTCCACTCGCGCGGTCAAAAGTGCCAACGTTACGCGCCCGCAGCGGGGCACTCGTTTGAGGCCGAGTCGAAATAGAGGAGGCCCAGAACGGGTTGAGACGTTTCATCGCCATGCTGTTGGCTGTGAGCGAGAGTCGAACTCGGGTCGCTAACCACTACGCTACCGCTCCCCACAAGCAGTTGTATCCCACGGGGCGCCGTGGTGGCTGGGAGATGTTAACTACCTCGCCTGGTATACAGGAGGTCGTGGGTTCGTTCCCGACCCTGATGCCTGCTGCTGTATATTTGGAGTTTGCGTGTCTCTCTCTCTCATCATCATCATCACGGTGGCTAGGAGATGTTAACTACCTCGCCTGGTATACAGGAGGTCGTGGGTTCGTTCCCGACCCTGATGCCTGCTGCTGTATATTTGTAGTTTGCGTGTCTCTCTGTCATCATCATCATCATCATCACGGTGTCTAGGAGATGTTAACTACCTCGCCTGGTATACAGGAGGTCGTGGGTTCGTTCCCAACCCTGATGCCTGCTGCTGCTGTATATTTGGAGTTTGCGGTGTCTGTCTCCCAGTGGTCGCGTGGATTTGTCTCCGGGTCCACCGGTGTTTCCACCCACGTGTAGAATCGACACGAGTTCAGAGTATTTGGCTGCTAAACATCGCCACGTGATGATGAGCCACTTCGTTGGGCTATCATTTGTGGCCATGTCGCTTCTGAAAAAGAGCTGTAGAGCTCAGTGGGGCCTTACCTGGTGAAAAAAAAAAGAGTTTACTTGATGCGTTGTAGCACACGTCAAAGACAGGCAACATACACCTGTGGTGGCTGTGCGTGTCTGCCTGTGAGTGGGAGCGGTTATTGTAATAGGCACTCGCTGACAGCACTTGCCCCCCCCCTCAGTCTGTTGAAGGCTACACGGGGGATCTTTGTCTGTGTGCGTGCACAACCCCCCCCACCCCCACCCCACACAGGAGTGAACACGGGAGTCGTGGGCTGCTACATCTACGAGAACGAGAACGGCACTGCCGCGGAGAACTGAGAGCCACGCCAACTCCAGATCACCCCCCCACCACCCCCGATCCCTTACCCCCCCCCACCATCCCCCCCCACCCACCAACCCCCCGCCCCCCCCACCATCCCCCCCCGGCGCCGTCTCTCCCACCCTCCCTCCCCCGCTCGCCCCCGCCACTTCCATCACAATCACCTGCAGTGGAAAATTCACCTTGGAGGGACCCCCCCACGCCCCAAACCCCTCCAGCCCAGATGTGCGTTCTCGAGGTGGCGCCACGTGTTGTACGGCACGATGTCCTGCGACGTTTCGCACCACCACCACCACCACCTGCTGGGAGAGAGCTTGCCACCTTGGGGAATTGGCGTCTGCGTGTCGCGCGGTAGGAACTGATCATCTCTTACCGAGATCTGGTGCTGGCATTTGCGTCGCAGTTTTTATTCCGGTAGTGTAGCGCACGGTGGTGGTGGTGATGATGACAGACCTCGCGCTGACTTGAGACATATGTCCGGGTTTGGTCTAAGGTGGACAAGGTGGCAACAGCCAACGCTGGGAGCTTCTTCAGTTGAGTACACGTAGAAGCTCTCTGCGCGAAACGTCGGACATCGTGCACAGACCACACGCGGCTCGGGCATCGGAGAGCTGTACAGCAGCATGCGCTTATCTCCTCCTGCGCGGATGGACAGCCAGGAACCGCCCATGCAGTTCGACTGCAGGCACCAGGCTCGCACCACGGCCTACATAGAAACACCACTCAGCGTTTCAGTTCTTCACCAGGTTGTGTGAGCGCGTGCTGTGAGTCTGTGCAGAGGGAGTGGTAGGGTAGCGGTGAGCCGCGCTGCGCTATGAACCCCGCGAACCCGAGTTCGATTCCCGCTCACGGCCAACACCGGTGAGGATTAACTGAATCAGGTCCTGGATCTCACCTAGGTCGACTCAGCCTCAAATGAGTGCCGGGTGCGATGTCTGATAAGCATCGCCACTGGGGAGACAAAGGCGGCCGGGCGTGGTGCTGGCCACCCACCCCATCGCGTCCCATGCCCTGCAGTGCCGGCCAGTCTTCACAGGCTCTCACGAACAGCACTTGCCCCAACAGTCTATTGAGGCTATATTGGGGATCTTTATCTATGTCTATGTGTGTCTACGGTTCTGCATGTACGTCTGTGAATCTCCACGTGAGTCTACATCTCTGAGCGTGGACCACGTGGACACACCACTCACTCGCCTAGGTCATTCACCGGGAAACGTTTCAGATAGTCACCAAAAGGCTCCTCCCGAAGATGCGTCTGTTCAAGTCGCTGTTTATATTTATGTTCTAGCCAATGGCGTCACTCTGGATCCCAGTCTAGCCACTAGTGGCAGCTACATTCACGTTTGCAAAATAATGGATTATTGATTCGGTTAAATTCAGAACAAAATCGATTAAATTAATCGACCACTAAACTTAGACCGACGGGCAGACTCGACTGCAGGAGTCCACCCTTAATAATAAATACAATAAGTCCGATGGATAGACGAATAGAAACACTGACTCTCGCCATAGGAACGTGGAATTCCCACCACTGTATCGGGCCAGCGAATAGTCGATGATCATACTATAACGACGAACATTTCAGCAACAAAACAACAACAACAACCCGCTTTGTGTTTTTTTTGTGAGAAAATGTTCAGTCGTCACAGCCCACGTATTTCATCAAATCCGCTGCCGGGAGACTTTTTTCTTCATAGGGGTGGGAAAAGTTTGAGCGGAAATTTTTGCATTATTCCGTCAGCCTCTGCTGCCCGTTTCTTTATACAAGATCTGCGGCTCCACCCCATAGATATCATCGCCATCGTGGGAACTCCCTTGCCAGTATCAAAATATAAGAATAGGTTTTTACCCTTTCTGGCTATCATGATGTAGCTGCTCAAACCGAGCTCTCAATGTCCTGGGAGTGGCATTGTCGTTGTGCTGTTCGTCTTGTGGCGTCCTCTGGTCTGACACCGTGTGAGACTATACTCTAAAGAAAGCTGTCTCTGGTGTGGACCAATCAGTTCCAAAGACAATTCATCATATACTATCAGAGCATTATATTCTTGGTTCTTTCGGTAAAGTCACGTAGAAGGGAAATAATAAAGTAATATTAATATAATATTATTGTTTAATATATATTATTTTATTATTTCCCTTCTACGTGACTTTACCGAAAGAACCAAGAATATGAATCCCTGCAGTCACGAAAGCTTTAAATCAAAATTTATCAGAGCATTGTTTTTGTTTGCATGTTCACCACAAGTATGTGTGTTTAATGCGGACATGACTCCTTGCAAAAGGTTTCCGGTTGGTGTTTTAACATCTTAACACAACTGTTTTATTGATAGAAAGGGGACAACATTCTTACATCGTCGTCACGTTGTTAACGCGACCACACCTCCCTTGCATCCGTGTGCCTCATCTTCCCGGATCTCGGAAGATTGCTACGCAGGGCTGTGACTGTTTGTTTGCTGCTGCTGTTGCTGCTGCCGGTGCTGTGTTGGCAGTGGTGCACACGCACAATTAACAACAACAACACTCGACGCATTCATCAATAACACTGGGGCCTTAATAGGAAAATAAGTAATATTTAAAAATACTTTTTTTAAAACACGCTTTAATGAAATGTACCGTACTAGTAATGGAAAAACTCCACGACTCCAGGAAGTGGGTCCGAAGCTTGCCACAACGTAAGAGGCCGTGGTGATTTACAGGCAACGTCAGTTGAGCGTGGACAATTAGACCCAAGCTGAAACATAACATAAAAAATGAATGTTTAAAATACCTTTTTTTTATATAGAATATAGTATTGTCATCAGCATGACATAAGTATACAAAATGTGTAGTCGATACCACATTGGGAAGTGGGTTAAAATTGGGTTACAAGATTTGAGGATACGACAACAGACAGAGTGAGTTAAATAAAAGCGTGTAAAAAATATTAAAAGCGACTGGGGCAATTCAAAACACGTGCTGTTAATAAGTGCCATTGCCTCTAACAACATGCGTATGCTATGAAGAAGAGTCATTTCCCGAAACGTCAACTATTATACACGGGTTTTTTTCTTCCTTTTAAGGCCACACGCGGTGTTATTGACACATGTGTCGGGAACGTCTTGGTTTAGGTATGCTTGAGACGCGTTGGTTCTTGGGTGGGGTGGCCGCCACAAGACCTTGTCACGTGTCGCAGGGTGCGGCCGAGTTTGTAGACCGCTGCCTACGCAGCGTGAGCGGGGGGGGGAGACGTGGGGGGGGGGGGTCTCCCGGGTTCCTCCCGCACGAAGCCAAACTCTCAATGAATAGAATTGGTCAACTATCTCGGCATGCCAGGGCCCCCTATCTTCGAACAAGTTTTGAGGCTTTCGCGGGTTAAAACAATTAAGGGCATTACTGTAGTACTACTATTATTATAATAACAATTATTATTCCTCTTTAAGCCCCAGGGCGTGGGGTGACATTTGACAAGTGCGGGCTATTTTTAAAGAAAAAAAAGGACAAAAAAGTGGACCTCTCCCCAAACTCCGCTGACGTTAGAGCGCTCGCCGGAGTCTGGTTGAGCGAGTGTTTTGCAGAGGACATTCAACGTAAAAAAAAGTTAACCCGTAAAAACAAAGTTTTTCACTATAAATCCTTTATATGCGTGTTCAATGGGCCAGAACCCAGCCCACATTGGTCTTTGAAACGGGCGGCTAGAGTCCTCTCGTCCTCTGGCTTGAGATGGCTGCCACCTATGGGTCAGATGATTGCCTGCCACCATTAAGCAATTGGTAATTAAATATAAAAAAAAATTACCTAAAAAGTGTAACATTTTGGAAAAAAAATTTGACGAAAAGAAATTGTCACGCACAACGAGTCTGTGTGCAAAATGTCAGCTTGATTGGATCACGGGAAGTGGGTTAAAAAAACGACCGAAAGATTTGCACGGTCGTAAGCGCGCAAGCAAGCAAGCAAGTGAACTTAATATAAAGTATTTAAAACACGAAGCCAACACGGCGCTGGGCACCTGATTACAGCCATTCACGGTACTGCCACCTCGCCACTGTGGCCCACAGACACACACACACAACAGCAGCATGATGTACGTGGATTACCCTACGAATTACCCAACCGTTAATGGGTATCCATTGTAATTCCTATGCACACATTAACCCCTCTCCCCCACCCCTCTGGCCTTCGCACCTGCTTGACTCAGCAGTGTCGACATCACAATTATCCCTCTATTTAAGACCGCAACAGGAGGGTTTCTCCACAACTCTGGCAGTCGCCTGATGATGCTCGTTGTAAATACTGGCGAAACGTCGTGTTCGAATTGTAAACGCTGTGGGTTTGCTCTCCAACGCACCGGTGTGCTGGACTAGTAACGAATTGGCCACGTTCGGTTGACGTGACAAACCTGACTAATTGGCTGTGTCGGGTGGTGGCGGGTTTAACGGCGCATTTATATTTACGCGTTCAAACCCACACGCCTCACCTATGGATAACATCAACAACAGAAGCAGCGACGTCACCACGACAGCGCTTGTGCCAGACTAGGTGGACATTTGAGGCTCGGAGGCCGTCAGGTGAAGTGTCGAAGGCTCGCCGCTGGGCAGGAGGTCACGGGGCAGGCAACGTGCCAGGGGTCTGCGTCGTCACTCTCAGTCACTCCCCCAGTGGTCCCAAGTGGTGGCTGAGTCAGCCCGACGGGTGTAGCCCTGCGCCACCAACCCGGCGAGCCGAGTTCGATTCCCCGATGTGACGATGGGCAATCTGACCCGAGATGAGCGGCAGATGCATCGCCCACACCTGTACTACCCATTCACACAAAAGACAAAGATCCCCCGTATAGCCTTTAAGAGACTCGTGGGACAGGTGCTGTTAGCGAGCACCTATGAAGGCAGGTACGGCACACGAGGGGATGGGTGGTCAGCACCACCACGCCCGGCCGCCTTTGTCTCCCGAGTCGGCGATGTTTACACATCGCACCGGGTACTCGTTTGAGGCTGAGTCGACCTGGCGGAGGCACAGGACCGGTTCGGGTAATCGTCACGAGTGTCGGTGGCAGTGAGGGGGAATCGAACTCGGGTCGCAGGGCTCGTAGTGCAG